CTGCTGCTGCTCTTTGGGAAGAAGCAGGGGCCAGCAGAGCTGGCTGCTCTTCAGGGCTTCCTGCTACGGAATTATCTCGTGACATCAAGGCCAAGTCACTTCTCTTCCTGCCCACTGAAGTCATTTCCTGCACATTTTAGCTTGTGGCTTCCTCCTGAGAGTTTAAGTTTTCTCCCCTCACTCTACTTCAAACATACGGTTCAAACAAAACACACTTCAGGTAAGTGATACTGTAAGTTTTATTTGTATTTTTAAGTTGTTCTGTTTTAGATGAAGCTCCTTTTCAACACTAACTCTGTTTCAACATGTAACAGAATATGTGTAACACACACAAAAAAAACATTTTTGGCATAAAGACAGAATATGCTGGAGGAAGGCAGCTAATGAACGCTTTGGATAAAGTTACCTGCTAGAAAGGACAGAAATCAGCTCCTCATGATCCTGGTTTGAGAACTTCTATCCCCTTTTTCAATTATGAATATAGTATGAAAATTTATCAATATATAGTAAAATAAACAAATCTACTGAATCTACTCTTCAATCTTAATCAAGGAAATGCAGACTAAAACATATGTATTCACAGAGAAATAACTTCCAATATGCTCAGGTTACCAGCATATTTTTTTTAATTAAAAATGTTATTTGCAAGACACCAAAAAGTAACATTTTTTCTAAGTTTGATTCAGTAGAGCTAGCTAATATAACCTTCCTTAATCTAGAGTTTTTGAAATCTTAGCTAGCGACATCTATACTGTATAGCACCTGTATCACCAAGTGTTATACTGCAGAATGTATAATTAGAGATGTTGAGTATGCTTCAGAAAACTTAAGGCATCTACTATACATAATGTATGTGAAAACTGATGTCAAGGAAATACAACTCTCAAATAACTCTTGGATTCAAAAAAAAAATGTAACAACAAAAAACATATTAAAGCACAGTATTGCTCTCTGTGCTGACAACTGAACAGTTATGTTTTAACTAAAGGGAAAAGTGCAAAGGACAGGGAGTCAAGATTTTGTCTCACTGCTGTCTAATTAGTGCTGATTTTGGACAGAATAAACAGAAAACTTATGACTACGTTTAACTTCTGTCAGTGGTTAATAAGATACTCAACATGACACTGAAACGAGCAGAAGTCCTTTTTAGATGATAGGTACAGTGCTGCCACTGCTGAAGCAGCCGGGTGACTTAGGTGCTGCACTTAGAGGCCTAACTAACCGCCGTCACCCGCCGTTTCCTCGCACTTCTACCCTGAAGAAAACCTGAAGTTCCAGAGTCACTTTATTGCAGCCCAGAAAGACTTAAAAAAAAAAAAAAAAAAAAAAAAAAAAAAAAAACACACAGTTATCCTACACTCGGACAATGTGAAAACCCCACAAGAGTTAATTTGCTTGTACAGGTCCCTGAAGCCCTGCTGCACACAGAAAATTATCTGTTGCTGGAAGCAATACTCCAGAAAATGTTCTTCCAGAGACATGTTTATCTTTCTGTGAAGTCCAATAATAAAAGACAGAACAGCTATTATCTACACTTAAATATTGCCAGAAACATCTCCAAATATAGTCAAGAATCCATATGCTCATACATATGTTTGTATCAAATATGAGAGTGCGATCAATAGTTTCTGCAAACAAGCATACTGTAAAAAAACATAAAATATGAAGGATTGACTTTCTTTTTTCAGTATTAGTACACTGGACAAACTGTGGCTAAAGCACCCCATTTCTGTATTACTAACCATAAAACATCCATTTATCAACAGCAAAGTGAGAAACGAACAAAAACCTCACTGAAAAATAAAACGGTATCAGGCAAGAGGAAAGCAGAAAACTGTTATTAGACTTAAACTAACCTTGAAAAGGAATATTGACACTTAAGTTTAGTCTCCTATTACTAATCACTTTGAACAATTTATCAAGAAAGCATTTGGTTCACAACTCTTCTCTGTTAAGTACACTGTACATTACATCAAATATCAGAGTGTTGACTGAAAAGTAACTCCTCTTAAAAGTAGCCACTACGGTCATCACAGGTATCACTGATTACAAAAGTGGAGATATGAAAAAGAAAAATGTCTGCAATTTGCATCATTGCCCTTAAAGAGATCTATGTAGAAACACAACTAGCACTATAAAGTGAAATGCAGCCAATATTTGCTACAATAATCCATATAACTGCCAAAAAAAACATGAACAGTTGATTTGAAAGCAGTTTTTCACTGTAGAATTCACTGTAGAAGTAGAATTTCACTGCTACTTCAATCTGGATATTCAAACTAATGAAGGAAAAAAAAAAACAAACAAACACACGAAACAGTGACCCTATAGAACAGTAGATGCGAATGCGACTATATGTAAATCACTTGGGATCATATGTGACCCTATTGTTAGTAAATCCGAAGAAAAACTCACCCTGTGGCAAACTTCTGTTTTAATTTCTTTGAGCGCACGTTCAGAGAACACACAGCCGCAGTTTCGTAAGAAGCAAAACCTTTAAAGAAAAGAAGACAAGCCATGGAGTCATGTTCAGAAATTCTGTGCACCTAAGATACAGCCCCGCGCAGCTCATCCCCATCCTGCGGGGAGGATGAAGGTCTCTGCGACCTTCCTCCCTTTGGGGACACGCAGCTCCTGCAGCCCGGCCTGCCAACAGCAGCACGCTGCTTTTCCCCTGCACACGCTGCCCTCTGCACCGTTCATTTATGGACACAGTTTGATTGGGGCAAGGGAGAACATTTCATCTCTCCTCTTGAATCAGAAGGGAGGAAAGGCCAGACACCTTTTCTTCTCACAAACTGCCTTTTAACTGGATGGCAAGACTCTCCAAAAAGGCTGAGGTGAGTTTAAGGACCTGCCTTTCTACATTATTGCTTTAAAGTACTAGTCCATCTAGAGTAAGTCATTTTTGAAAACCCAGTACAGAAGCAAGAACACTGACCTATGCCTTCCGTTCATCTCCAAGCCCACCACGGGGCATATAAAACGTGCACACTGTAGGTCATCGTACTTGTCACCTTTTATGCTCTCTTTATCACCACTCCAAGCTGGATTATCTGCAAGATTTAGTTCTGTAACACTCTGAAAGATACAAAGGCAAGCCCTGAGTTGTTTGCCCGTGATTTTTCAACCATAATAGCATTCTTGAATATATTTTTTCCTAATGGCTTACTACATTATAATATTCTTTTTGATAGTAGACTTGTAACAATGTTGTTTCTAGTTAACAGCGTTGTTTCTACTTACTGAAAGTGTTTTTTTTTCTTTTTGATAGAAATTTTCTCAAGTTCAACAACAAAGAATTTTGTATATCTATAAATACATAATTGCATTTTTGAAAATGCTTGTTGTTGAAGCTCTACTTCTGACTGCCACCAGGGTGAATGCTAAACTTGCAGTGTTTAAAAAGAAAATTTACAAGTTTGTTCAGCTTTATTTAGATTCTCTTCTGATTCAAACCATCAAGACCTCAAACTTTTATTTACATTTAAAAAAAAGTCATTATGTCCACGACACAGTGTTTTCCATGTTTGTGACTCCAGAGCAAAACCAAGTGACTAAAACCTACTAGCAAGACTTTGCTGTCCAGAATATTAAGAATTCTGTGCCAAGGTATTAAGTCTACTCTTCCCCTCCTCTGTCTTTCTCTCAGCTCTGCCTCTCCTATCTGCTCCCTCTTGCACCACTCGTAGTCAGCAGCAAACACAACAAGTCAAGCAATGCTGGGGACAGCAGGGCGCTACCTGAGGCTCCGGCTCTGTAACCCTTGGGGCACACGAGGCCGTAAAGGAAAAGCACAAACTAAAAGCTCCACGAATCGCACAGCGTGGCGGCAG